TTTTAAAATATTTCACGACCCCTCAATTACTGCAAATTCTAAGCCATTCCAAGTTTGTGGCTATTATTTTTTACTGTACTATTTTTACAACCACAAAAACATAAAATAAACCAAAAAAAAAAACAAAAAAAAACGAGTCAATTGCTACAATCACTTAATTATTAATATTATGTGGTTATATATGAAACTGTTAGAGAAATAATAGCTCCACCATATTTTTCTCAATTTATTTTCACTATAAAAAGGCTATTTCATTATAATCAAAACAAGACACACACAAAGAGAAGGAGCAATAAAATAAAAGAAGAATAAAAAAACAACAATTTGTGTGGAAAAAAAAACACACACACACACAAAAAAAAAAATCCAATTAAAATGGCAAAGGCTATTTTGCTCCTCTCTGCTCTTTGCATTGTGGCCCTTGCCAATTTTGCACATTGCCACTCTGAAGTTTTTGATGTTGAAGGAAAGGTCTACTGTGATACTTGCCGTGTTCAATTCGAGACAAAACTCAGCGAAAACCTTGACGGTACGAAAATTTTCTAGTTGTCGATATATCTGCTATGTTATTTTCGACTTGAACTATATATATTTACATTCATTCTCATAAAGGAATATCACATCGAGTGACATTAGGTCAATCTTTGTGTATACAATCAATTACTAGTCATAAATGAATCTTATTATATTCATTACATTCTATTCAGACTCATTTCATCAATATTCGTAATATTCATCATAACCAAACATCAATTATTCCAAATTTTCTCATTTTTCACGAAATTTGAATTGATTATATACATTCTATTGAACAGAACTAAGAGTGCTTTGTTTTGTTTTGTTCCAATAGGCGCGACTGTGAAGTTGCAATGCAGGAACATCAGCACAGAGGCCGAGACGTTCTCAGTGGAGGGTGTGACAGACAAGGATGGAAAGTACAAATTAACCGTTGATGGGGACCACGAGAACGATATTTGTGAGGTGACAGTTGTCAAAAGCCCAAGGGAGGACTGCAAAGAGAGTGTGTCAGGATATGAAAAGGCAAGAATTGAGTGTAGTAACAATGTTGGTATCCACAATGCTGTGAGATATGCCAATCCACTTTTCTTCATGAAGGCTGAGTCTGTTCAAGGATGCAAAGAAGCTCTTGATGAGTTGGGTTTATTCCCCCTTGAATTCTAAAGTCTTTTAAAGTGACAGAAAATAAATAGCTTATGATTTGCCCTTTCATGTTGTAATGGGAAATAATAAAAATGAACAATGAGGAAAGATGGATTTTCTCATTTATATGTATTCATATGGAATGATAAGTTCCATGCATTTGTTTTAATGAGAAGATCTTGATCATATTTTAAGAAACTTGGTTCTCCTTTTCTTGGTGTTTGGACTTGTTATAACTTTATGATTTTTTTGTTTGTTAATTATGATGTTCTGATCAGCTTGCACATATTTCGATAATATATTTATAGTCATAATGTCTTCATCATTTTGGTTCTCATAGAAGGAAAAATTTCATGTATTGTTTCATGAGAAGATCTTGATCATACTTTAAGAAACTTAGTTTTCCGCTTGGTGTTTAGACATGTTACATTGTTATAATTCTCTTTTTTTGTTTGTTAATTATGATGTCTTGATCAACTTGCACATATTTCGATAATATTTATAATTATGATGTCCTTATTAGCTTGGTTCTCATGGAAGCAGAAGTTTAATGTATTGTTTAATGAGAAAATCTTGATCATATTTTAAGTAACTCTGTTCTCCTCTTGGTATTTGGACTTGTTACATTTTTATGATATTTTTGTTTGTTAACTATGATGTCCTGATCAGCCTGCACACAATTTGATAATATTTATAGTTATGATGTCGTGATCAACTTGGTTCTCATGAAAGGAAAAGTTCTATATATTGTTTCGTGAGAAGATTTTGATCATATTTTAAGTAAGTTTGTTCTCCTTGGTGTTTGGACATGTTATATTTTTATGATTCTTTTTATTTGTTAACTATGATGTCCGATCAGCTTGCGCACATTTCTATAATATTTATAGTTATAATGTCCTCATGATCAATTTGGTTCTCATGGAAGGAAACTTCCATGTATTGTTTAACATGAGACGATCTTGATCATATTTTAAGAAACTTGGCTCTCACATATTACATTTAAAAAAAAATATAATTATGGTGTTCGAGTTAACTTGAGGGCATCTTGATTATGGTTGCAAGGAAGTACTTGATGAGTTGGGTTTTTAGTTATGATGTCCTGAGATCAGATTGTGCACATTTCGATAATATTTATAGTTATGATGTCCTAATCAACTTAGTTCTCATGAAAGGAAACATTTCATGTATTGTTTAATGAGAAGATCTTGATCATATTTTAAGAAGCTTGGTTCTCCTCTTGGTTTGGACGTGTTACATTTTTTGTGATTTTTTTAAAATTATGATGTTCAGAGATCAGCTTGCGCACATTTTGTTAATATTTATAATTATGATGTCCTGCTCAAGTTGTTTCTCATAGAAGGAAAAGTTTCATGTATTGTTTAATGAGAAGATCTTGATCATATTTTAAGAAGCTTGGTTCTCCTCTTGGTTTGGACGTGTTACATTTTTTGTGATTTTTTTAAAATTATGATGTTCAGAGATCAGCTTGCGCACATTTTGTTAATATTTATAATTATGATGTCCTGCTCAAGTTGTTTCTCATAGAAGGAAAAGTTTCATGTATTGTTTAGTGAGATGATCTTGATCACATTTTAAGAAACTTGGTTCTCCTCTTGTGTTTGGACATGTTACATTTTTATAAAAAAAAATTATTTTTGAAGTCATGATTAACTTGTGCACATTTTGATAATATTTATAATTATGATGTCATATCAACTTGGTTCACATAGAAGGAAAAGTTCCATGTATTGTTTAATGAGAAGATCTTGATCATATTTTAAGAAACTTGGTCCTCACATGTTACATTTTCTAAAATATAATTATGATGTTCTAGTTAGCTTGCACACATCTTGATTAAGGCTGCAAGGAAGCTCTTGAGTTGAGTTTATTGACACTTGAATTCTAAAAATTGATAAATATTTTAAGTGGAAAAAATGTTATAGTTTTGCCCATTTTATTGATGAAAAATAATAAAATGAACAATGAGGAACGATGAATTTTCTTTTGTATATGTACTCACATGGAATGAGAAGTTCCATGTATTGTTTAATGAGAAGGCTTTGATCATATTTTAAGAAACTAAGTTATCCTCCTCTTGGTGTTTGGACATGTTATAATTTTTATTATATATAACTATAATGTTCGAGTCAGTTTGTTTGTATCTCGATTATGGCTGCAAGAGGTTTTTGATGAGTTGGGTTGTTGAGTTTATTCCCACTTGAATTCTAAAATTGATAAATGTTTTAAGCGGAAAAAAAGTTTATAGTTTTTTCCTTTCCGTTAGATGATTAATAATGAAAAAATAATGAGCATTATTAAATGGATTTTCATATGTATGTACTTTCATGGAATGATAAGTTCCATGTATTTCATTTCCATGTTTTAAGAAACTTGATTATCCTCTTGGTGCTTGGACATGTTACATTTTTTTTTTTTGACTTTTTTAATTATATACAATTATAATGTTTAAATTAGATCAACTTGAGCGCATATTGATTAAAATTATAAGGAAGAGTTGGTTGTGTCACATTTGAAATGAACAATGAGGAAAAATGGATAATTCTTATGTATATGTACTTTCATGTATTGTTTAATGAGAAAATCTTGATTACATTTTAAAGAAATTATTGGTATTTGGAGTTTTAGTAATTTTGTATTGACTAATCACATGAGTTAATATTTTTGCTGCGATAAATTTTTGAAAATAAAAAAAATATAGAGAGAATTTTAATCATTTATTAATAAAAAAATACAGTATTTTTTAGTAATTTATTTTTTTGGACAGAATCTTTTGCTTTTTGACAAGTAATGACTAGGGGTGTACAAAACCGAACCGAGAACCGAACCAAACCGCAAACCGAGTCAACCCGGAAAAAAAACCCGACTAGTGGTTTGGTTTGACTTGGTTTGGTTTTGGAAAAAAAAACCCGACTATATTTGGGTTGGTTTGGTTTTAACTAAAAAAAACCAACCCGAGACCAAACCAACCCGAATTTATATATATAATTTTAAAATTTTATTTTATACATAAAAATATTTACTTTGATATAATTTTTAAATATTTCTTGTACTTTTTCATAGTTTTTTCTTTTAATATATTATTTCAAGTTTGAAACTTAGAATTATAAATGGGCCAATAAAGATTATAGTCCACATATGTTGGTAATTATAATAAAGCTTAAATCAAAATCAAATTAATACTAATGCAAAAAGAAAATCAATTCAACACTAAGAATGACAATAATATTGAATATTTGTTCTTTAGTTTTACATTGGTTTAGACAATTAAAATACATAATCTAATTTTAATTTTCTTTAATATTTAGTCATGTAACTAATACTTATTAAACTTAATTTTAGCATGATTTAGTACTTTTAAATTATGATCATTTTCATTCTGACTTGTTAATTTGCAATATTTGTTTTACGCGATTTCATTATTATTATTTTTGTTGGATATTTTAGTGTCATTAATCATATCATATTGTGTTATATTTTTAAGAAACATCTTAGATAGTTGTATTTTGGTAGGACTAAAGAAATATTTGAAGTACAAGTAAATTATATGTTGTGTATGAATACTTTACCGGAAAAACCCGAAACAACCCGAAAAACCGAAAAACCCGAAAAAACCCGAGGTTGAAAAACCCGAGTTTTATTGGTTTGGTTTGGTTCATAAATTTAAAAATCCGACACAAATGGTTTGGTTTGATATTTGAAAAACCCGAACCAACCCGGCCGTGTACACCCCTAGTAATGACCACAATAATACAAAAAGATAAAAAAGCAATAATAATAATAATAATAAAAATTTCAATCGAACCCTATTAAGCACAAGATTTTAGTGAGAGAAACAGTGCTTCTGAAACTCTCAATCCATTTTTTCTACTTTCTCTCTCTCTAGAAAAAGTGCATTTTAGCTTAAATTTTCTGCGAACAATTTTTTTTTTCATCGATTCAATTTCAATGGCTAACAGCAATCTTCCTCGAAGAATTATCAAGGTGAATTTTTCCTCTTTTTTCGATCCATCGTTTTTTTTTTTGATTTTAGAGACCCATTTTGTGTTTGATCACTAGGGTTTTGATCTACTGTACTTCGATTTAGTTTGATTTTGAGTTCGATAAAGTTTGAATTTGATGGTTTTTTTATTTTTTATTTACAGGAAACTCAGCGTCTTCTAAGTGAACCTGGTAAATATATATATCTGTGATAGCCATGTATTGGATTTTTAAATTTGTTTATTAGAAGTGAAATTATTTGAGTATTGGAATGAAATTGCCTCAATTTGAGCTGAATGGGTGGGGAATATAGATGATTTTGTGTAGATGAACTCGACTAGGTAGGGATTTAGTTGTTCTCAGTGGCGAAGCTAGGAATTTGAACGAGGGGATTCAAAAGGAAAGTTCTTATGCTGAGGATTCAACAAATTATATATACGCAAAAAAAAAGATCATTTTTTTTCCTTGTTTAAATAGTATAATTGAGCCCCTTTGCACCTATCTGCCTCTGCACCCTGTTGTTGTTGTTGTTTAATAAATCATGCCAAAAAGTTCTTGAATTTGTCTCCAAATAATTTGTGTTTAAAAGGTACTACTACAAAGATATCAGTTTTGAGCCATTTCTCTCTTCTCCTTTCATTCAAGATGCAATTTTGAGCTCTTTGAAGCATTTATGTTATCTTCATTAACTACATGAACGTATTTCCTAGGTTGATTGGACTAGGGTGCGGGTATCCGATGCGGATGTGATTCGACAAAATCTAGATTTTAAGATTCAGGTGTATTGATCCAAGTATGGATAGGGATGCCGGGATTCAGCTAAAAAAGTTAAAATGATAAAATAGAACTATAAAGATATTCAAAATCTTGAAAGATCTTCTAGGCCATCTTCCCCCAAGACCCAAACTTATTTTTTAAAGCTCTCTGGTAGTCTGGTTCTTCCCCTCAAAAAAGAAAAAGAAAGTCATTCTAGGCCTTCCACCAATACTCCTTACAGATCGTTGCTGCTACCTACCAGAAGTCAGAACACAACTGCTTGAATTCTCAGTTTCTCTTCGTTTGGCTTGGAATGTGAAGCAACGAATATTGACCAAGAGGAAAAGCTAAAAAGGAGACAAAAGGACTATAATATTGATTTTATGCCACTTCCCATGTCTTAAATCTATTTATCTTCTATTTTGAGAAATCAAAATCTCAAGTTTCCCCCAAATTTGCCAATGGACTTTGATCAAAGTATCCGATGTGGGTTGACCTTATCCCACACATATCCTGTACCTGCACCTGCACCTGTCTCCTATTGACATGGGTGCGGCTGCAAAAATGAGGAGTTCACGCAACCTAGCCTATTTCTCCTCTCCGTTCACCCAAGGTGCATTATTGTATTTTCTTCCTGAATTTCAGAGTATAGTAGACTTGATTTTGTTTGTTAATTTTGGTATGGCAAATGTTTATGCACCTTGAGACTTATTGCGAGTTTGTTCATTGGATTGTGGTTTTGGTTGATTCACGACCTATCTTTCTAAGAGAGTTTTAAAAGTTTTTGTGTGGTTTAACTTTGATTGCAGCACCAGGAATAAGTGCTTCTCCCTCAGAAGAAAATATGCGATATTTTAATGTCATGATTCTTGGTCCAACACAGTCTCCGTATGAAGGTAATTTGCTCAATAAATTATGCTAAGAAAATGGAAAAAAATAGTTATGCTAAGTAAATGAAAGTCCATGTTGCTATTGTGCGTCACATTGAGTAAATTGTGTCCTTTCTCTTGAATTGGTTCTTCACTTGTACATAGTTCTTGGTAAGATTTTCCACTAGTTTTCTTTTCCTGTTTCACGCTCCTACTTTCATTTGCCTACCTGGTCCCTCTTTGTAGTCTTTGGGATCTGAGTTATATTAGGCTTTGCAAATTTTGACGTAAAAAAGATAAATGGAACACAAAATCAACTGGTGTCCTGACTAATTAATTCTGCTAAAGTTGAAATGAACTTGACTAGCTGACTGCAATACCAGTAGGATGCAGGGTTGTATTTGTCAATTTGATTTAGTAGTAAGTTGTTAAATATGTCCCAACTCCCATAGTTTCAGTATCATTGTGTGCATGCTTATTATGTATATCTGAACGTATTTCTGACAACAGTATAGTGGATAGCTAGCTGTCCTTTTACAATTTTTTTTGGACTATAAATGGCATTTAGATGAAAGACATCTATCGTTGGTCTTCCAGTGTTTACTTTGATATGCATTTACATTACTTTCTTTTCTTTTAGTTCAACTGGTTTACCCTTATTGCTGGCCCATACATGATATGCTATTCTTTATTCTTTGAGTGACATATATCTTTTCTACCCTGTATAGTTTTTTTCTGCTGTAGTTTCCTTCCCTTAATTCCACTGCTTCCTGCTTTTGTGTAGGAGGTGTTTTCAAACTGGAACTCTTTTTGCCTGAAGAGTACCCAATGGCCGCGCCAAAGGTATTTGAACTCATCTATGGATGTTTTGGCATCTTTCAACAGATGCTCAGAATCTCAGTCAGGCTTCCCTAATTGCATATTCTAGAATTATATAGCTTGCGTTTGTATGGACTGACATTTTTTTATATTGTGCCCCCAAAGATCAGAATAGATGAATTACTTGATTTGACTTATTTGTCCGGAAGCATTAACTGCAATCTCCTTTCCAAATCATGTACCAGCTCATCTTTGTTGTTGATTGTGATACTCTCTGCTTCGTGGAGTTTTCATCTCTAATTCGGCTATGAGACCGTCATTAGAAGTTATTTGCTAGAAAGTTATTGTCTGTTGTCTTCATGTCTAGATTTGTGATTTACCGTTTACAATTTCCTGATATGCCATTGGAATATTAACTTCTAAAACTTCACTACTTGTATTCTTTTACCATCTCAATTATCATACATTATGTACTAATATGTAAATGTTCAGTTTTAATGTGTAATGCATGGATATTAAAGCTGATGATGATAACATAAGTTTGGGCATAAGTTAAGACTGCTCTCCTATATGTACTGGTTGTTTGCTCTTCTCTCTTTTCCCCCCTTTTCCAGTGATGTGCACAATGGGTGGGTTGTATTACCTTTAACTTGACTAACGAGTAGTTGGCCTAAATGAAATTATGAGTTCTGTCAAATGTTAATTTTAGGAAAATCAGTATGAATGATCAAACATAATTCTTAAATGCCGTTGTGAAATTTTTTCTTAAAAATTTGATCTCACTTCTACACAAGTTAGTACTGCACAAATTGACATAGATCACCAAAATCCCCAAAATTATTTATGACCTTAATAATGGGTGTACCCTTATTACTCATGTTCTTTCTTTCAGAAGTTTACAGCCGAACTCCATCAATTCAACTGGTTTGTTTTCTTGACTAGTTCAGGATGCTGCTTCAATTTTTCTTTCTGGGAATAGATTGGTTGTCTATCATTAACTGTTAACTGTTGAAGGAAATTTTCCTGATCGCAATGGTGATTAGTCATTAGAGCAGTTATAGCTAGTGTTTCTCTTGAAAATTTTCTTTTGTTGCTGAGACCCCTTTTAGTGTGTGTGTGTGTGTGGTGGGGTGGGGGTGGGTTCCCCCCTTATAAATCCTGTTCGTGATGAATATATTAATTCAGGCTGTTTTTCCTGGGGCAACATTAAGTGTATCAGGGGGTTTTAACTCCCAAGATGATAGTATATCATGAACTCTGCAGATACTTTTTCAGTTTGGCTCATATTTTATCTTATAAGCATCTCTTGAATTTACTTTCCTGGGAACTGAGTTGCAACCATGACACATTTTTGAACCTCGCTTGGAGGACAAGATGCCTCAGGTCTTGAGATGCTATGATTCCCTATGTTGCTTGCCCATAAATGCTTGGGGATTCATAGACAAATTTCCTTCATGGTTTTGCATGAGGGTTGCCCCTTCCTAAATGATCATGGGCTTTTACCTATATGCAGTATGTAGGGTTGATCACATATTGGTTGTAGGGATTATGTGTGTTCTTGCTGTAAAAATTAAAATGTGAATTAAGTTTGTGCTATTTTTGTTGCTGCTATTAATTCAGTCATTGATCAAGTTGCATACTATTTACAGGTTCGATTCCTCACCAAAATCTATCATCCGAATATTGATAAGGTTTGTTCTGTTATTCGATTCTGTTATACATAATTTCTAAGCCACAAGCTGCCTCGCTTATGTTGACCATCATTATGAAGCTTGGAAGGATATGCCTTGATATTCTCAAGGACAAGTGGAGTCCTGCTCTTCAGATTCGTACCGTTCTTTTGAGGTATTAAATATCTTCGATAATCTTTTTTACATATTTCTGGAGCACTGTTCCTGAGGATTTAATGAATTTTAAAAATTTCATCACCAAGTTTTGGCTATAAGATGGTAGACGTTAACAATATAGGTGCTTCTTTTTCAGCATTCAAGCACTTTTGAGTGCTCCAAATCCAGATGATCCACTCTCTGAGAACATTGCAAAGCACTGGAAGTCAAACGAGGCTGAAGCTGTTGAAACGGGTAATTTGCCTTTACGGTCTTTCCATTATGTACCAGTACAATGTCGAACATTGAATACACTCAATGCCTGATTATGCATTGCCGATTAGTCCTTGATTTCAGTTTCCTTTCTTTAACCTTGCAGCTAAAGAATGGGCGCGTCTTTATGCAAGTGGTGCCTGAAGACCATAATTAAGTGATTTTCTAACGGAAAAAAAAACCCCGTGGAATGTTATTGATCCACTGTTTAATCCGAATGGGACTTGGGAGGACTGAAGCTGAATGCTTCAAATTACCCATCTAGAATTGTTGCCCTGTCCTTGAAATTGTACAATTGAACGATGTACCTTTTTTTCAAGTTGAATTGGTCTTTACTACTATATCAGAAACGGTACTAAAGTATTATCTCACAGAACACTGAATTGGAGGACAACGTTTGTTGTGCGAGTCCTCGTGACTTTGTCCGAGTAGGTTGCTTTCCACTTCTCTTTTTGAACCAAGGATCTATCGGAAACAACCTCTCTACCCCATGAAGGTTGGGGCAAGGCTTGTGTACTTGTTATCCTCTCAAACCTCACTTGTGGGATTACATTGTAGAAACAATACGAACCTCAAAACTATAACTATTTCAGTCGAGGAAATAGGACAAATGAAGTTGTCTTTGGTAGGGAATAGTGAGGTGGTAACTATCTATTTGTCCTTTAACACGAGGTTTCGGGTTTAAAAAAATGGGAATATAGTTTTGTTTGGGTATTACTTTCATAGAGTTGTCAGTTTTAAAGTCATTGAAGTTTGTTGTTGGTATAGGTGAAAGATTGAATAGTTTACCCAGTTCCTTCTTGTTTGAAGAAGCCCTCTAAATCAATTGGTATTTTTTTCAAAAAAAACAAATTCGAAATAAGAAATTCAGCGTTTCACTAAGATTTTGAATAGTGGTCTCTAATTTGTTGTTTCTATTTCGACTCTTCTTTGGAGAAAGATGATCAATCAATTTCCAATCATGGTCCTTGTGGATTAGAATTCATTTAAGAAATTTCAAATATTTAAGATCTCAATTTCACTATTTAGTACAAAAATTCAAAGAGATCTGTTTTCTTTAGGGCCGTATTTTGTTATAGGGACATATAAGCATAAAACTTGAAATTTTCATTTGTACACTTTAACTATGTGGGGATTTTAGTATTCTTGAATTTAATTTAATTTATTTATATTATTCACCTTCGAAACTATGTGAGAATCCTATTACTTTTAAACTACAGAAGAGCCTTATTATAATCCTTTAAACATTGTAATACAATGCAACAGTCAAAATATTTCACACAATACATAAATGTACCTTTTATCCTAGTTTCAGTAGATATTTGTGCACGAGATACACTTGTCCTACATGTTAATTCACGTGTAATACACTTGAATTAATTTGTGTTATGTGATATAGGATACCTACATCTACTCGTTCAATTTTATACGTTTTTAAGTCTGTACTTGTGCTCATCCAAAAATAGAAAATACAAATATCAATTAAAATTAAATTTAAATAACACGTTTATATATCACGTCAAATAGTATACTATAAAAAATTGGTAGTCAAAATGTTACTGATGTATCTGAGTCATGCAGCCACGTTAAGATTTTACAGTGGTCACTGTGCCACTGTTTTAACAATAGGAGGATAGGAAATAGACTAAAATATGGCATTGGGATTAGTAGCTATTTGACATGACTCTTCCATGTTTATATATATATAGAGGTCTATAAGTAAACCAAGATGATTGATAGATAGGTAGATCTATTCATTAGCTACAATATTGAATGATATTTGATCCCATTGACTCATTTTTTTCTGGATTAATTTGAGTTTGTATTGTAAATTTATATTTTGAATCAAGAAAGTGCAAAAAGAAAAAGGAACATGTCACAAGGGGTGATTTTTGAATTTTTGACTTTAATTACAAAACTCTGGGGATTAAGAGAAGGTGTGAGCGGTTGATGATAGTGTGTATTAAAAGAGACGACGATAAGTTGAAGAAGTATTACGAAAAGATGATTAGATAAGACATGACTCATCTGCGATATATCAAGGACATCACCTTAGTGTAGTCAAGCGTCTACCTAGTATCCTTTTCAAAATGATTATTATTATTTTCTTACTATATTATTTCTTCAATTCTAGTATCACATGTTTTCTTTACTCTAGATATTGTATTATTTGGTGTTAAAATTGTTCTCTTCACTTTTATTTTCAACATGATTTTTTTCCCTAGTGGATTTGCACTTGTTTTTCGATACTTCTTTATTTGAACTGAGGGTCCACCAAAAGTAACTTTTTTGTTTTCGCAAATATAGAAATAATGTTGCATATACGCTGCCTTCTTCAAAATCTATTTATGAGATTACATGAGATAAGTTGTTATTGTAATTAATTACTCCCTCCGTTTAAAAAAGAATGATCTTCTTTCAATTTATTCCATTTCAAAAAGAATGTCCCCTTCCCTTTTTTAACAATATTTTAATTTCAACTTTCCACGTGACATAATGTCCCTTTCCCTTTTTTAACAATATTTTAATTTCAGCTTTCCATGTGACATATTTAAGATCACAAGATTAAAGGACATTTTAATATATTTGACATAATTTTAATTTAGGATAACAAAATTAAAAAATCTTTTTTATTTTCTCATATTTTGTACTAAATTAAAGTAGATCATTTTTTTTAAAATGGAGAAAGTACTAAAATTCTTTCAAATAACCTCTATTGTCCATAGAACATAAAGTTAATTTTGTCTATAGTGAGTGACACTGACTTATGAAGTGTCATTCAGCAAAGTGTCTTTTTATTCTTTATCCATTACAAATCCCAATTTTTCTACCAACTTATTTATAAACTTTGTTGCTTCTCTTATTTTGGACCTTCCTACAATGTCATGTCCTTTTCCCCACTTTGTCTTCTTTTTAATTAAAATAATATTCGGATCAGTTTGAGTGTGTATCGATTATGATAAAAGTTTATTCATTTAAAATGTTAATATCAAGTGGATTGATGGGGTACATCAAGTGAAGTTGTTCTAAATATTTGACTTTGAAATATGATATTATTAGGTTCATGTAACAATTATTTATTAAATTAGTTTTCGATCGTGTATAAGTTAATCCAAACACCACAATTATCGAAAAAATTGTAGATATTCCTCTCCCTAATGCCACTCCACAAATCCAAGATAGGATTGAGGGACCATACAATTGTTATACACAGTGTATGTATACATCGAAGAAGAAAAAATGTCAACGTATAGTACAGTTGATCAACAACAACAACAACAAATCCAATGTAATCCCATAACGTAGTCTCCATTTGAAACATTACCATAGTTGAGGTTTCACATCAATGTATCAAGAAGCAAACAACAATTATAAAGTTGAGGACTGAGTATATAGCAAGACCAATGAATAGGTGAAAATTGACAACTTTTATTGATAGAATGCTTATTCAGCTATATATTGCTGCAGTAAAATCAGCTCTACAAAGAAGTCGGAAGAGGAATGAATGAATGAACGAATGAATGAATGAATACTCGAGGGTAAAAAAGGAGACTAGACTTTCCCTCTATAGACCACAACAACCATGTCACATGTATATGTAAAAAAATACTTTCTAGATGGGAGCGAAGAGGGTGTTCAGAGTAATCATCAGGCAATTTGGAATGGCAAGAGAAGCACAATGAAATGTCAACTATGCTCCTAATGACGGTAATGCCTAATCAAATCCTCCAACACCTTTGGATTTGGGATATACAACTCCATCACGAGTCTGCCATACCTGTACATCTTAAATGTAGGTAGTGTTGTAATGTTCTCTGCTGCAGCGATTGCTGGGCTTTGTTCAACGTCCACCTTCAGTATAGAAAACAAAAGACCATTACTATTGAGTTTTCTTCATTCCCCTGTTGTGCATGCATGTAAAATCATTATAGCATGACGTTGCCTATGATTGTTTACCTCGAGAAAACTTACTGAACGATATTTGGTGCTTAAGGTATCCATTACTAAGGACATCTGCTTGCATTGTTCGTTGGATGCTTCTTTAAAAAGGATCACAGATGTAGCTGCAGTTTTTCAACAGTAGAGTTATATAGTAAATGATGCAATGAAGGTTAAGATAGCTATGCAGGAAAGTCTACCATATGATGTAATTGCAGTGTGGAACTTGTCAAGATCCAAAACCAAGTCCACCTTGCGAACAAATGTCATATTGTGAACATCTTCTCCTTGTGACTTCTTTAATTCAACTCGGCAATGGAATAAAAATTCAGCAAGCTCTCTGTCATTTGGAAGTTCCTGCCGCAGAATCTCATAATCTCTCACAGCGTCAGCCCATCTTTCCAGCTATAATCCATTGCATACAATCAAAATTATGATTTTTGCAGTAAAAGTAAGTCTTATAGTAAGATGTAAAGGTGGCATGTCACCTTGACATTTGAGGCAGCTTTTTGAAAAAGAGCTTTAGTATAATGTGGCTGGATAAGTAGAGCATGGTTGCAATCATCCAAAGATTTTTCCCACTGTTCAAGTTTATACCAGCAAGTTGCTCTATTGCAGTAGAGAATCAAATTCAAAGAATCACGCGACAGCCCTTCCCCATAAGCACTGCAAGCTTCTATATATCTTCCAGATTTAAATAACTCGTTTCCAAGAGAACGAGCTCGCCCCACCAGCCTCATGTTTTTGAGTAAACCAATAACTTCAGCACTTTGAAGATCAACTTGTGCAGCTCTTTCAATCGCAGCACAAGCATTATCAAACCTGCAGATATTCATGATCGGTTTGTATATTACAAAAACCTATGCAGTACTTATAATAATAATAAGTGATAAACTCACTTTCCAAGAGTGTTCTCAATCTGAGCTTGGACAAAGAATATGTATGCTTCAGATATCATCCCAAAAAGTTTTGACTTGTATGCTCTCGCAGATGCCTCATACATCCTAGCTTTATACATCCACAATTCAGCATCCGTTAATTGATGTAGCTTCAAATGAGCTTCCGCTTGACACGCAAATAGCTGTATCATCAATTCAATATCACAAATTCAGTACCAACATTTCATCACACAACGTACGTAATTACCTGAGCAGATGCCTCAGCTCCACGACTAGTTGCTGCTTCAGCTTCTTTTAACACACTCGTCCAATCTCCAAGTCTCCGAGCCTCACTACATTTATTGATATGGTTCTCCACTGTTTCCAACTTGTGCAACTCTGCTTCTTCTGGTATCTGATCTAGCGAAAATAAACACTTCCTTGCATTTTCAACCTGTCCTAAACTGTAAACAAGCTATTATGTAAATGCCAATAATTCAAATTCAGAATCAGGGTAGAGAAAAAAAACTTACATAAGTAACAAAGATCCTAAACGCTGGTGTGCTCGAACATATGTTGGAGCTAATCTAA